GCCTGCATTTCGCGCACTCGACCCGCACGATCTCCGCAGAGGGTTGCTCGCGCACCGGACAAATGGCACTCTCGCCTGCATTTCGTGCTCTCAACACGCACGATCTCCGCAGAGGATTGCATTTTCGGTTGACGCTGTTCGTTGTTTTTCATTAGAACTTTTTCAATACTCACACTTGCATACTTGCACTGGGATACTTACACTTGCATACTTGCACTTGGATAATTACACTTGCATACTTGCACTTGGACGCTTTCACTCTTACACTTACACTGGGATACTCACACTTACAAACAAACTTTCACTTGGATACTTCTGCGCCATTGTGAGTATAGGAGTGTAAGTGTTCAAGTGTAAGTGTAGAAGTGTAAGTGTTCAAGTGTAAGTGTAGAAGTGTCAGTGTTCAAGTGTAAGTGTAGAAGTGTCAGTGTTCAAGAGATTTTCCGGAAGAACCCTTCGCAATGCTTTCGGGCAAAAGCAAAAAATGGAATGCCAGGAATCTGCCGTTTGAAAATGAACCAGCCCGACAAGAAAAAGGACTCTTCTCACCCAGAGATTCCAAGACAGGCCCTAGATTGTCTGCTACCTGGAAAAGCCCTCTTTTAGAGGCCTGGGTGGTCAAAGCTGGCCAGAAATGTTGAGGTCCTGAAGTTGCAGGGCAAATGAATTGTAGTATCTGCGAAGAAAGTACTTGTTGTCGACCTCTCGTCCACAGTTGCCGAATCTCTCACCGCCGCTTCCAAAAATGTGGTCGAAGTGGACATTGACACAATTGAAAGCGATGTGATTGAAGCAGAAATTGGGTCAAGAGCGGCTGTCAGACTGCTTGAAGTTGAAGTATTGTGCATCCAAGTGGTAGAAGACGTACTGGTGCTGGTTCTGGAGGGCTCTCCGCCGAAGAATGCTGAAAAGGACCCGAGTGTGGCAGTGGTCAAGGTGGTGGTCGCTGTTGAAGTGAGCCAAGTAAGGGAGGCAGTGCTGCTGGTTACAGAGGTTCTTGAGCTGGTTGAGGAAGTTGAAGAGATAGTGGTTCTGGAAGTTTGTGTGCTGGAATATGTTAAAGAAGAGCTGAGTGTCATTGTGATGGCAGTGGTCGTTGTGGTGGTAGTGGTCATTGTGGTTACAGAGGTTCTTGAACTGGTCGAGGAAGTTGAGGAAGTTGAAGAGATAGTACTGCTTCTGGTTCTGGAAGTCGTTGTGCTGGAATATGTTGAAGAGCTGAATGTTGTGGTGGACATAGTCATTGTTGAAGAAGTTGACATGGTGACGCTCATAGTCCCCGTTGTTGATGTTGTTGTCTCTACTGGCCCGGCCTGCAGGGTTTCAGCATCTAGGCATGGGACCTGCGACCGAATGTTGCGGACACCCATGCGGGCTCCAAGTGCTCCACCACCTGTAGCATCAAAGGAAGCTAGGAAGAAGCGCATGAAATAGCTGCCTGAGGCTAACACTTCCAGCTGATTGAAGGACCAATCCAAGCTATCAAATCGACTTGAAGCTCGTCGAAAGTCATAAGTCACGAGGGATCCCGAGGGGCCGAAGACAACGACCAAGATCTCATAGGCATCAGAACTGCCTTCAGTTTCATACTCCCACAGAATGCAATCCCCTGCGGCAAGGATCTGCTCATCCGTTTGGACCATTGGCCCAACGCAGCTCTTGTAGGCAGTGCATCCAGGGCAGCTACCCTCTCCGCATTGCTCCAAAGGAGAGGTCACTCTGGCATTGAAGTACATGCTTATCACTCCATCCGCATCCACTTGAATGCTTGAAGTGATCGAATCACACTGATAGGTGCTCATTGCTGAGCAATCCTGTGTCACAGTGCACAAAGGATCTGAGCTCACAATATCCACACAAAGGCCCTGAGCAAGGGATCCATAACTTATGTGGTTCCCATATTCGCTTTGACTTTGGATATTGAAATTTACCGCCACAACCTTCGTCACCACTGCATGGGTCAGGAGTAGCTCGGTGAAACACCCCATGCTGAGGAAAGCTCACTTTGGAGCCGGAGACCAGCCTGAAGCCAAAGCAAATAGAATTGCCATGAAACACATAAGAAATGGAGAACCATATCTTGTACGATACAGGTTGATCCATGAAGGATCTTCTTGGTTTTGGAGATGGAGACCTTCCAACCCAGATTTCAACCTCCTCCAACCTTCTGACATTTCGATCTTTCAATAAATGTCAGACTTTGCAAGCGGCTTTAAAGACTGTCTGGGCTGAACAGAAATCCAAAACATATTCTGGAGATGAAGTTGGCTTTCGTATACACTAAGGTAGCAGCAGAGACTGCTCGAAGTACCCCGGTCCAAGTAAACCTTGCGGTGCGGCCGTCCAGGTCTTGACATGCCGCTCCAAAGTCGCCCTCATAGCTTCATAGGACATGCTGGTGAATTGTAGACAGGTTTGTGGAGGATGGCTTTATCTACAGTAACTGGATTGCTCAAGTCTGGAGTTCAAGCAGCCAGAATACTTTGATGATCAAGTCCAACACTATGAAATGAAATATGCTAATATGGTCAGCGGCGAGTCCAAATTTGCTTTTCTTTTCTCGGCCAAGAGTCATTAAAAGACTGATAAAACTGTCACTGTGCAAGCATCCAAGCCAAGCTCAAATACAAGCAACAGTTCATGCAGCTGCTACATGCTGAGGCTTTGCCCAGACTTGATCAGAAACTCGTCAAGAACTCCGAGGTCTTTTTTGTGTGAGGCTTTGAAGTCTCATCCAATTAAAGAGTGAACATTAGACATTGTGACATTGTCTGAGAGTTCTGCACTGGTTTGGAGACAGAACTGCTACATTGCCGCTACATCGGTCTTGTGCTTTTCAGGCCTGAGGCTTCTTCCCCCAGGTCTCAACCTGCAGCACGCGTCCCTCAAACTCGGAACCTCAGCACATCAAGAACATGCACATTCAAGGGAACTTCTGGCCTTCTCAGAAACAATGCAAAATCAAAGATCCCTCCAACCCTCAACACGTTTGTCCTTCATTTTGGCCCTTTTCCAAACGCAGGATGAGGCCCAGGCCGTTGAGGAGTTCACATGCTTTCTGCACCTCATCGCAAGCAAACCAACCGATCTGCTCATGTGACATGAAAAGGTAGTGACTGACAAGAAAACAGGCTTTTTGACAAACAACAAAACAAAACATGTCATGGGAACATTGTAAGTGTAAGTATTCATCCTGCCACTACAGAAAACATCAGCACTTAGAAGGAGAACCGTATTGAGGCGCAAATTCTTTTCAAAAAAGGAAGTTGTTTGACATTTGAAAAAGCTAAAGGAATTCCCTGACATCAGGGGGCGCAGGTAAGTACCACAGACAAATAATGATGGACAAAACATATATATATATATGTATGTGTGTGTGGCAAATATATGTTTGACACGTTGGTACAAGTTATGACCGTCACGGAAAAAACTTCAAGATAAGATATGCCTGATTTGGCTGCGAGGAACAATTAATTGGACAAGAGCTATTGAATTGATGTATTTGGAAGAGTAGGCCCGCGGGGTAGTTCATCAAACTTCAGTGGAAGCCCAGTTGAACAGGCAAGGATGCACCAGTTTTCTTATGCCACGGATAGCTTCCACTGCATCGTGTTTTTAAGATGGGCAACTACTGCCCGCAACTTAGGCGCTTAGTGTCAATTAGCTCCAAACTCATCCAAACTCCTGCTTTCTGCATGGCAACCTCTGGTGAATTGAATCTGTAGGGTTTGGACAGTTTTTCCTCTATATCATAGATCCAAATGGAAAGGAAATGTCATGTATAAAACATAATACCAAGTCACCGCTACGTAGATTTGGATGTTTCCCAGATATGGTAGAGAACAAAGTACAAACACACCACGAGCGGGCAAGCTTTTGCGACAACAAGAAAAAAACATGAGAAAAGACCAGGCTTGTTGGCCCGAATGCCATTTGCAAGTGCTCAACCTTTGGATCCTCATCTTTGGCCAAGACGCTTCTTCTCTTGTCTTGAAGGCAGCTCCACCCTTGGCGCTTCTTCCCACTTCCGCGAAGAGGCAGCCCCCAGCTTTGTTCATATGCTCTTTCAGGCGCTTGTTCAGCTCCTGGGGTTTGGACGCGTAGATTCGAACAAGAAGAATTGTTTCTACTAGCTTCTTGTTGCTACTAGTAAGGCACTTGTTACTACTAGCGATGCACTTGTTACTAATGCAAGATTTCCGGCTGAGCTCTTACCGCTAGTAGTAACAAGAAGCTACTAGGAACAAGTGCATTGCTTCTAGTAACAAGTGCCTTACTAGTAGTAACAGATTAAGCGAACTTTGGACACAACTACCAGCTGTTTAGAACTGCTGTTTAGAACTTTTATATATATATATATATTGCAGTCAGATTCTCCACACGAGACTCACAAAATACTGAAGAAGAAAACTCGCTGCATCTGTGGATCAATATCTGGAGCTGTTGTAAGTGGAAGGCCACCAATAAACACTTTCTTCTCCTCAGGTTCCAACGCGCAACACTTTGAACGTCTGTGTCTGTCAAGAATCTGCTTGGTCCGAAGGCTCCGCCGGCTGTGCACTAAGAGCCAGACGTTTGGAAATGTGATAAGGCCGGTCTTGCCGACACCTTTGCCATACGGGCCCATCATCATCCTTGGTGAGCGTGACACCAGGACGATGACATACAATGATTTGGTCGGCGCAATCTCGGGCGTCTCGTTGTCACAGGATCACAAGATTCGACAGCAGGAACCTGGTATGTCTGGTGCTTGTCTGGTACTCCTGAGACTGGTCTGCTGCTTTTGTCACTGATCTCACAGTGCCCACTGCAAATGCGCAAACGGGCATTGTTCACAGCCCAAAACTGTGCAACAAATGTGCATATGCGGGCCGCAGTCAGAGCATGATTCGTTAACCAAATAGCAATGGCCTCCAACCTACTAGCGATGGCCTCCAACCTCATAGCAATGGCCTCCAACCAATAGCAAAAAAGGCAGTTCATAGAAAAATCTGGGTCCAGTGTCACTGTGCTCATTCACGCTTTGTGTGGCACTTGCCGGCCACTTCTATTCACTGCTGGCCCAAGAATCCCCTTCAGACTAACTCGGGCAGACCTGGAAAACAAAAGGTCAAAAATGAGGGTGGGTAGAAGTGTCTGAGATCGATTCGGAGCTCCAGAAGTGAAAAGTATTGAATCACAGACAGTGACCTGGACTGATCGTTTGAAACGAGGAGAATCTGGCTCCTCCACACCACGATGCAAGAAGATGCAGGTGCCATCCAAGAGTCTGCATCATCATAGGGTTCATCATGGGATTCCACATCATATCATAGCCTTTGCCATAGCCCTTCCCTCCATAGCCCTTTCCGCCCCACATCGCACCTGAATTGGCAGGACATGCTTAGTTTCCAGAGCAAGGGTGTTTCATGGGACTAGGTATGACCAAACCCCATGAAACACCAACACAACCGTGCCTGTATCACTGTCTCGCTCTGACCCGTGGGCTAGGCTTTTGAGCTAGAATGGGCTGCACATACCATCCAATTGAACAGCTAGCTAAGGTCCCTGAACCTTGACACACATGCAAGCCGCTTGCAAGCCACCAACCGGGGTGAGAAAAATCCGTCAAATGTCCTTGTAATTAGAGAAATGTGACTGGTGGGCCACTGGTGGGTCCTTCTTACATTCAGATCCTTCTTGCTTTTAGTGCAACTCCTCAGGCCTCACGTGTCAAGACCCAGGCCTTCCCCTCTTTATGTTTCTTTTCTGACACAGCCGCACAAAGCTCAAGCTCGTCATGGTAGGCTGACAAACAAAAGAATCTCTATGCAACAGAAAGAGGAAGCTACACAATGATTCAATGATGGGAGTCTGCACAGCTGTTCAGTGCAAACTGATCAGGGTTGGCTATAAACGGACTGACCGTCTACAAAAACCTCTTTGACATTTCGATCGTCACCGAGAGTTAGGATCTTCTGAAGAAGATCTTCCCGTGAGTCATGCCGACAAACAAAAGACAAAGCCGTTGAAACCTGCGTGAGCAAAACAGCATCAAAGCGCTTCCCTTCCTCGAAACTTCCAAGAAGGTCCTGCAAGCCCAAGCTTGCTGCACCACCCATGGTGGCCAAATAAAGCGCATCAAAATGGCTCAAGTCGTCCTGCTCTTTACTGGACTCCTTTTCCTTTGCTCCGACCGACAGACCTCCGACTGAGCTCTGTACAGCTCCAGGCAGGTACTGAAAGTGAAGAGTCTTGGAGGCTAGTACAGCTGCACGCATGGAAGAAAGCATTGAAGGAGAGTACCCACCAGCGACATCAGTACCCAATCCAACCTTGATTCCCCGACTTATCAGCTGCTTCACTGGCAAGGCTCCACTGGCAAAGAAGAAATTTGATAATGGACAGTGAGCAATGGCTGCACCGGAATCTCTTAACAGGTCCTCCTCAGTACATTTCATTTGCACACAATGGGCCATGACAGAAGGTGCTCGAAGCAATCCAAAGTCGGAAAAGACTTCTGCATCTGTTTTGCCCTCGAAGAGTGCTGAAGAAAATTCCACCTCATCTATGGATTCACTCATGTGGCTCTGAATGATGCATTTGTATCTTTCTGCCAATTGGCTCAGTCCAGCAAGCAGTTCTGCAGTGCAAGTTGGCAAGAATCGCGGCGTCACGACAGGTTGCACGAGGTATGGTGGACTATGACCAGCCTCAGCAGCGCGAGCCTGTGTGTAGTTGATGAAGTCTTCTGTCTCGTTGATGGAGGTTTCGGTTGTTTCAATGTATGAATCAGGACAATGTCTGTCCACGCAAACCTTCCCCACAAATGCTCGTGGGCCACGATTCCTAATTGCAGCATCAACCAATTCTTTCGACGCCTGGCAATGAATGCTTGCAAAGATCAAAGCAGAGGTAGTTCCATGACGCAACAGGGTCTCTAATCCTGCATTGTACACTGACCGAGCAATGGCCAAATCCGACATAGACTCCTCTGTAGGGAAGGCATATTTTACAAGAAAACCATCATCACCCATCAAGGGTTTGTCTATTCCAGCGCCAGTAAAAGGGAATTGCGGGAAGTGAATGTGTGTGTCAATGAATCCCGGTACCAAAATCTCCGATGCGTGCAAAACACGGACAGAAACCCCTTGGTTTTCCAATGTTTTTCGCGATTCTTCAGCTGCACGGCCACGGTAAAGAGATTGGATGCAGCCACTTGAAACGACTACCAGTGTTGGCTCGTGCAGACCTCTGACCTCACCGAATTCTGGTGTGTCAACGCAAGTGCCAAAGATCGCAAAAACCATTGCCAAGGGCCAATTGCGACAAATATTGTCTGATAAGTTACTACAGTACACAAGCTGGTGGCTAGAATGACATCCAAAAAGCAAATCAATTGTGAGCCAACACTACAATCACGTCCAATCAGCTGTCGACACTTGCAGGAAAACGAATGAACCAATGCAATCATCCAAGAACTTACAGCTGCTTGAACAAATCTACATCCAATATGTGTAAACCAACGCGACTCGCATGAAAATGATTGACCACGGTTTCACGTGTTCCTGAGGAAAGAACTGGGTTTGAACTGCAGAACTTTGAGCCAAAATGCAGTCTAATCAAACTCCAACACTGCTGCTAGACTGCCAAATTCAAGCTTGCATACACCGCATTGTTTCTTGAAGCTGCTGGCTGCGAACTTGTTCCCAAAAGATGATTTCCTCCATTCCAATCATCCACTTGATAAACATTGCAATTTTGGCAGTACTGATGTTGTCCAAGCGAAACTAGACGACGGTTGGCCCGAGAGCGAGACATGTAATTGTCCAGCACTGTCGACAAGATGTATAGAAAGAGAGAAAGAGAGGGTGGATGTGAAGGAGTGACACTGTGATGTGCAGGTGCGATATAGATCTGTAGATGTATGGAGGCGGAGAGGCAGATCTGTGGATGTGAGCGTGCGAAGATGTAAATGCACAGAGACGAGAGAAAAGATATGTAGAAAGAAAGAAAGACAGGACAGATGTGAAGGAGCGACAGTGTGGATGTACAGATGTGATATAGATGTGCAGATGTGTGGGTGTGGTGAGGTGGAGAAGTAGATCTGCGGATGTGAGCGTGTGAAGATGTAAGTGTAGAGAGGTGAGGGAGTGTAGACGTAGATGCGTCGATGCAACGGCAGGGCAACGTCAACCTTAGTTGTGCAAGTACAACGCTGAAGGGGTTCAAATAGAACTGAAGAACGTACATTTCACACTGAAGTTTCCACGAACAGGGCGACCTGAGAGTAAACGACGTCGCGATCATGACAAGCGACTCGTGTGTTCCAAGCGAACATCGTTTGTCATGAAGGTGAAGTACACACATACTAACGTCACGATGACTCTTTTGTGGCAGCCGCTTATGAGTAAGCAAAGTAGCTAAAATTTGTCAACCTCTCAAGAGAGCCGGGTGGTCGGGAGACATGACTCAGCTGCAGGGGCGCCAGAGCAGCCGCGAGAGATGACTCAGCCGCGAGAGATGACTCATCCGCGTACTAAGGTTGAACTACAAAGTCGCCAGTTCTCAGCTTCCAGCTCCACAGCTTGCTCCGCGTACTAAAGTTGTACTACAACAAAGTCCAGTTCTCATCTTCCAGCTCCCCAGATACTCCGCGTACTAAAGTTGTACCAATCTCAGCAGATTGCTCCGCGTGCTAAAGTTGCACTACAAAGTCGCCAGTTCTCACCTTCCAGCTCCCCAGATACTCCGCGTACTAAAGTCGCACTAGAAAGTCGCCAGTTCTCATCTTCCACCTCCCCAGATACTCCGCGTTCTCAAGTTGTACTACAAAGTCGCCAGTTCTCAGCTTCCAGCTCCACAGATTGCTCCGCGCACTGAAGTTGTACTACAAAGTCGACACGCGCGATCTCTGCAGAGGGTTGCGCCGGACAGGGACAAATCGCACTCGCCTGCATTTCGCGCCCTCGACAAGCACGATCTCCGCAGGCATCATCCTGGTCAGCAAGCTCCCTTCGTTTGCTTTCTGCCTCCACTGCCTGACCTTGACATGCCTCTCGCCTCGTTCGTGCAATCAGTTGAAAGGGCTGTGCAACGAGAAGGGACTTCCACGGCATGCTAGGCAGGGCAACAACTGACTTTCCTGGCAAGAATCAGACACGCTGACGAAAAGTGCAGCTCCTGCAAAGCACCCAATTACCATGTTTGCCACTCGATGCAGTGGCCTTTTGGTCACAGTTTGTGGTGTGGCGAAGCCCCTTTGATTGGCTCCGTTGCCGCTTTTGCGCTGATCTTACCGACCGACTTTCGCAGTGATTCAGCCCATAGTCAGCAGCCAGCTTTTCTCACTTGTCTCACCTTTCGCACAGAGGAAACACTTCTAGATGAGAGAGTGCCGGCTCTGGCCTTTAGTTGTGTTTCCTTTCCCTTCAATGATGACCTGGGCACTCCGCCCACACGGCGTCTGCACTCGTGGAAAAAAAAATGTGGAGCTTGCCGAATCTGAACAGGGAGCCTGTGGGACAAGCTGCACATTATCGCGGACAACCCTCATTCCCCCGAAAGGGAGGTCTCCTTTGCACCTCTCAGCATTCAAGAAGTGCCAAAAGCGGTACACTCTGTTCCTGAAAGAAAGAGAGGTGCCAACATGCTCGCAACCTTCCAATTGCCATTCTCCACCACCAGCCTCTTGGAAGCGAAAGCTAAGGCTCTCATTCCTGTGGGCTCACTAAGTTGTTGATGGTAAGGCCGCCTGAGCTTTCTTGCGCCTGGCTCGCAAAATCGAAGCAGCAGAGTAGCAGTCCATCCCCACTGTCGTCAGAGCGTTGCCGGTCCAGGGTATGGCTTCTTGCAAGTCTTCTCTTCTCGTTGGCATTTGGCGGCAAGAATCGGAGCCACTGGGGCTTGTCTAGTTGCTCGCATTTGTTCAAATGCATTGAGGCGGGCATAGGTACCTCGCCATGTTTTGCTTTTCCCTTTTTACTTCTTTTTTTCCACGAGTACGGACGCCGTGTGGGCATGGTGCCCAGGTCATCATTGAAGGAAGGGAAATACAGTCAGATGGTGGAGAAAAGGACAAAGACAACCCAACAACAAAAAACAACCGCCAACCACAGCCCAAAGGCCGAGTCTCCACCATCCTGTAGTCTTTCCTCTGTGCTAGGGTGAAACAAGTGAAACGATGACTACTGACTATCGATGGGCCTGAATTCACGAAAGAAGAGCATGGCAGCGAGGGTTTGTGCTCTAGCAAAGTCTCAAAGAAGTCGTCAAATGGACTTCACATCACTATTACCAGTGACCAGCGGCCACTGCACGGTGTGGCAAAAACATGGTCACGATGCAAGTCCCGGGCATTGGTATGCACTAACGCAGGTTAAATCCATATCAAAGTGGATCAGTGGTTGCTATGTAGATCATGCCGTGGAAAATACCTTTCTTGTAGCACAACCCATGCAACTGGTTGCACATACAAGTCAAGACGCATAGTAGTTGGTAGTGTTCAGACAGTGGCGGCCATAGCAAACGACGAAAGCCTGCAGGTAAGGGTGCGAAAGGCTCACCCCCCCGAAGGGAGGTCATCTCGGCACCCTTCGGCGCACAGAGGTGCCAAAACGGGGTGTCCCCTAACTTCGAGAAATGCTGCGTCATTGCAAAAATTGTTCTGTTGCGTGCAAGGCCCGTGTGAAACAGGTGAGACATTGGACCTGTCCTAGCGTGGTATCTGTACCTCTTTGTACAAAATTGGAAATGTCGGACATCAACAGAGGGAACTAAGGTTCCCCCTGGGCATCCTCCATTGCCACTCTCTACCACCCGCCTGTTGGGAACGAGGAGCTAAGGCTCTCATTCCTATTGGCTCACTGTATTGCGAATGGCGAAAAGAGATTGGCGACCCTACTTAGTGTTTGCACTTTTCACTTGCCGTAGCTTCCTGGCAGTGTGTTTATACACCATTCCCGCTGCGAAAGCATTGCTGGTCTTTGGCGCAGGTTCTGGAAAGTCTTCTCTCCATAGATCACTGGCATCGGCCGGCAAAACTCGGTGCCATTCGGACTAGTCGAGTTACCCACATTTGTCAAGGGCATATGTCCTTCGCCATGTTTTGCTTTTTCTTTGTTTGCATTGCTCGAAATTGCGTGCTACCTGCAAAAGCGCATGGCGCCATGTAAAGCAGGAGTGGAAGCCTCCTGTAGAGAGGTACACTTGAGGAAGGCTTCTTATGCCGTGATCCTCAGTTTGGGACGGATCAACAGTTTGAGCTGTTGGCGGCTCGCACAGGCGGTGGAGCCTGTCCTGTTGAAGTCTGTCGGCAAGGCAAGTGCGACAACGCCCGCCTCCAGCAAGCAGCAGTCCGGCAAGCATCGGTTTGGGCGCGCTGCATCCGGCTCTGGCCGAGCCGATTGCTAGGGCATTGAGCTGTGCCCTTCCTTGTCACGGAGCGACACTGTTCGGATGCTTTAGTGCCGAAATGCTTGCAACCAAAGCTAACTCTACTCGTGGAATTTGGCCTACTGTGGCTTCTGGCCTACTCCGGACTCGAGCTAAGGCGCGCGCCCAGACTCTTGATGATATGCAGCCAGGGTGGCCACCTCATATCTGGACAAATGGCAAAAGCATTCTCTTCAGCATAGACTCCTCGCCATTTGTGCCTTCCTGGCATCTTGGCGAGCCTCTTAAAGGCAGTGCAATCCAAGAAAGCCCTACTTCCAATATATTTCAGTGAGGGCGGGATGGCAAGCTCAACTGGGGCTGCACAGTTCATAAAGGCTTTAACTCGAATTGTATGGAGAGTAGACGGTAGGAGAACTTCTCTGAGGCTAGTGCAGTGCACAAAGGTGAATTCCGGAATTTCTTCAACGTTGGTGT